AGGAAAACTTGAAATCGCATCATATGACCCCTTTAAGATTTTTAAGGTAAGATTTTCTTTTTGTTTTTGAAAAAAAAAATAAAAAGTCTCATGCTCACCAAGGCTGTATTTATTTGACCCAAAATACAGTAAAATCATAAAACATATTAAAATAGAACAGTTTTTAAACAGTTATATAATATTATAACTGTTTAGAAAAAAAAACATACACATTTTATAAAGTTTTCTATTTTATTACATATTTAAAAATGTAATTTATTCATGTGATGGCAAAGGTGAATTTCAGCAGCCATTACTTCAGTCTTCAAATATTTCAACCTTATAATTAATATTAAAATCAGTTGTGCTGCTTAATATTTTTATCGAAACCGCAAAACATTTTTTCAGGATTCTTTGGTGAACAGAGAGTTCAAAAGAACAGCATTTAAACAGAAATATAAAACTTTTGTAATGTTCTAAATTATCTGACTGTCACTTTTGATCAATTTAATGCATCCTTGCTGAATAAAAGTATTAATTTCTTTAAAAGAAAATAAGATCTTACTAACCCAAAGCTTTTGATCAGTAGTTAAACAAACAAACAAATGGAGTGCACTTGTATATACAATTTAGCTCTTTACAAACACAGCACTCTGCTGGGTTTTAAAGTGATTCTCCAGAGCACGGCTGAACAAATCTGGAAAAAAAAAAAACAGCCTGAGTAGTATTACAGATCCAAAGTTATGCAATTCTTCAGTTTGAGCTGACTCAGAGTTCTAGATTTGCGGTTCAGTGTTTTAGCTCTATTCAGTGTATTCTGAGACTGTCAGTCTAAGCTGTGGTCAGCACACTGAAACGCTGGCTCTGCCTCTGTGAAATCACTCATATCTTTTGGTGGGTCCAATGACTGTGCGTTACTAAGCCACACTAATAAACGATTTAGTGAAACTGATACCGGTCATAATTAGGTAATGCTGAACATTCAGGAGTTCACAGACGTTCTACACAACAATCTGGCAAGTTTTCAACAGTATAAATGAATAATAAATAACCATTCATCTGAAAAATAAGTGCTTTTAGTCCAAGCATTGTTTGCAGTTTAGCCAGTGGACAGGTTTATTTATCTCAATCATATAATAGACATACTGAAGAAGGTTTTACATTTGTACTACAGAAAAAAAGAACAATATGGCCAAAGTCATAGTCATCCTTATGTATTAGCCTATACATTTATCTTCTTAAACATTAACCTGTGCTACATTATTAAACAGGGCAATTTTCTCCAAGCTGTACTGTGACTGTCTACCACCCTTTTAAGCATCATGGTACATCCCAAAAACTGCTGCTCATTATATTGTAATTTGTCAGCATTTTGAGCCTTTTCCTTGAATTTTATAAAGGGTTTCTTTAATAAAATGTTGAATATTCAACAGTTATGATCTAAGGAGACTGAACAGATGTTCATAGGCTCGCAAACAAAAATTTGTGTTGAAATTAGTCATTGTTGACATTAGTTTACAAAACTAACACAAATTGGGGAATTCCTCAAGTATAGCAAAGACTAAACAAACAACGAGAGAATCGAGTTTTCAGTGCATTTCCTGACTATAACAGATTCAGCAGCATTGTTACAAAAGTAATTTTATATACATAAAAAGACATGTTAAATGCAAGTAAAGGGTCTACTTTCATATTTCAAAGAAGTTTGGTGAAAATAAAATGTCAAAATATGGGGGAAATAATGTTCCAAAGTGAAAAATTGTCACAGTGTAATGGTCCGGACTTTGATTTTACCATTACATCTTTAAATAAACAGATAAAATACCAAGTAAAAAAATACATTGGTTGTCTTGGCATTTTCAAGTAAGTGTTGGCTGTTACATTAAAAGGACTATGTCTTATTGTTTTTTTTAATGGGGACTTTTGTCCCGAAAATGCAGTTTATCAGAGATCATTCAGTGTAACAGGAACAAGAAGCCATTCTGAAATCATATAAAACTGATAGTCATTCGACAGTCTGTGACATCATCAAATGGCACCCTGAACACCATGTGGTGCTGCAGAAAAGTGAATTTATTGCTTTTTAATATTTGATAATTCCTCCTTTTCATGGTGTGGTATCCGAAGTTACAAAAACGCATGTCATTCAGTGAAATGCCAAAAAACACTTTTATTGTTAGATTTTTTTGAAAAATTAGGAGATGTTGTAAATAATTGTGATTAACTTTACTGGCCAAGCTCACTGTTTGATACAGGTGCCCATGTGATTGCCTGCAATATAAGCTGAAGTAGAAGTTTCGTCATTCAGGGTAATGCTTTTGTCATGTGGTGTAATGCAAATTATCTGTTATATCACGGTGTCATCCATTACACTGAATGACAGTATCACTGTATAAATAACAATTTTAGCATCTTATTCATATTACAGAATAATGAGGAATGTTCAAACATTAATAATAAATATTAATATTTGAATGCATTTTTGTATTGATTAATTTGTTATTGATTAATTTTAGATGCCCACAAACAGAGAGAGCTGCTAGGCACTGTAAAAAGCCAAAAAGCTAATAAAGTACGTGCGGACCCAGTAGCTTGGGTGGCATTCTAAAGCCTGTTCACACCAAGAACAATAACTAAGATAACTATAACAGTAACTATGCTAGCCTCCACACCAATGAACGATAGCACTGTTTGCTCTATGAATGCGCTGCAGGTTTATCATCTGCCGCTTTAAATGCTCGAGATCTTTAAAGTGGAGTGGATTCTGATTGGCTGTCAATGCTTTTATCATTCATCAGCTGCAAAAAAATAAAAATAAAAAAAATCACACTGAAATTCCAACAATATCGTTTCTCTGTGCAGTTATCGTTGGTTGTGCTGTGGAATCTGCTATTCTTTTATATTTAGAATGTTTTTTTAACTATATCTTTATCTTTATCATTATAGTTATAATACTTGGTGTGAATAAGCCTTTAGCAAGGAAAAGAGAAAGGTATTTACTGAGGATTGCAATTGTCAGAATAATAGCTTGCCAATATTTATGAACGGTGACTCCCCCCTCAGTATGACACAAGTTCAAGAGAGGTCACTGAGGGGATTCTCCACCAAAAATACTCATCCTGATAATGCCATTTATGTTGGCAAACATAAGTATTATGTTTAGAATATGAGGATTGCAATTGTCAGAATAATAGCTTGCCAATATTTATGAACGGAGACTCCCCCCTCACTACAGTATGACACAAGTTCAAGAGAGGTCACTGAGGGGATTCTCCACCAAAAATACTCATCCTGATAATGCCATTTATGTTGGCAAACATAAGTATTATGTTTAGAATAGAAAATAATCTATTAATAAATATGGCTGCAAACAGCGATTTTTGGGGCAGAGCAAGTCAGAAACAAAGAGACAAGCTAAGCAAGCATGACAGGGGAGCATCAGAACAGTAGAATAAAATGCTTATTATATATGGGCTCTGCGTGACTTGTGAGTCAAGACTCATATCCCTTTTGTTCATTTTTAATAGACTGCTAATTTTATAAATTGTTGCAAAACAATAAATATCTTTTTTAATTAGTTATTTTGAAGGATTTTCCTAATTATTAATTAATTTCTCCCTAAAACAAAGAATGTTTTTTTTGTGAATTAATAACAATTTAATCTTTAATACCATTTTTAATTAAGTTTATTCATTCAAGTCAGCAAGGGAGGAACTACATTCAATAATAACAAAAAAATAATTTAATGAAATTGAATGAAATAAGATTTTTTTTCTTTATTTTATAAATTGTTGCAAAACAATAAATATCTTTTTTAATGAGTTATTTTGAAGGATTTTCCTAATTATTAATTTCTCCCTAAAACAAAGAATGTTTTTTTTGTGAATTAATAACAATTTAATCTTTAATACCATTTTTAATTAAGTTTATTCATTCAAGTCAGCAAGGGAGGAACTATATTCAATAATAACAAAAAAATAATTTAATGAAATTGAATGAAATAAGATTTTTTTTCTTTCTGTAAATGCCATTCTGTTAAAAAATATATTTTTGTTTTCATTACCGAGAGTGCATAAAAGACTCCTTTTTATCTAAAAAAAATCTCACAATATTCTGAGAAAAGGGAAATATTCATATGAATATTCAGACCCTGGGAGACTGAAAGACTTGTTCTTCACAAATCTCTATTTTGGAGTCAGTTGCTTACAGGTCTAAGTCAATTTGTTTGCATCTCAAATGCAAGTTTCCATCTCTGGGGAAAGTTAAAGGGATAGTTCACCCAAAAATGAAAATTATCCCGTTTTAAATATGGATAGTTTTCTTACAAAAACTCATCGATTTGCTTCAGGAGGCCTTTACTAACCCCCCGGAGCCATGTGGGACACTTTTTATGATGGATTGGTGCAGTTTATTGGACTTCTATTGGACTATTGAAAAATAACACCCATTCACTGCCATTAAAAAGCTTGGACATTTTTAAATATAACTCCAATTGCATTCATCTAAAAGAAGAAAATCATAAACACCAAAGATGGCTTGAGGGTGAGTAAATCATGGGGTAATTGTAATTTTTGGGTGAACTATCCCTTTAAACTAAAAGACAATGAAAGGAAAAAAAGAAAGTAGAAGAGGAAGAGAGAGAAGACTGGATGGCAACATTTGAAGTCATTCTTACTCCACATCGTCATAGAGCTGCTCCAGATCATCTCTCTGTTCAGCAAGGGATGAATCCAGATCTAGGTAGTTGCCATTAGAAGCCAGTTGCAGTGCACACTCCTCTAACTGAGAGGGAGACAGAGGAACATCACTGCCTAGCATTGTTACTTGACACAGCACATAAACAGATTACAGTTTCATGTTAGACTCTCATGCTTTTTTAATGTGCAACTGGAAGAAGAGTCTTGTTCTCTTTTCACACATATTAATCTGGCAAGACACAAACTACATCACAACTACAACATAACAGTGAAAATTCAATCTTAAAAGTGTAACCCATGACACACCATTATAGCATATGAACATGCTCCCATACAAAACAAAACAACCATCATTAGCAGTCAACTAGTGCACAACAAAGAAAGTTCATTGTTGCCAATGGCGGTGTTTGATACGGAGTAGGGATGGGCGGATCGATACTTAAATATCGATACTGATGTTGTATCGAAAGGATCGATCCTCACATAAAAATATCGATTCTAAAGTGCATTTTTTAACCACTAATTTTATTTACTTATCAAGAAATTCGGTGCATAAAATAAGTTTTTCTAAGAACCATTTCTCCTGCACATCGGAACACACGCATATGCTGAAAGACAGAACCAATCAATCACAGACAGCGTTTGCTGCTGACACATGGCTCACAGTGCTTGTTCAAATAGGGCTGCGTTTCCCAAAAGCATCAGAAGCGTAAGTAGATCTTAAAGGGGTCATATGATGCGATTTCAATTTTTCCTTTCTCTTTGGAGTGTTACAAGCTCTTGGTGCATAAAGAAGATCTGTAAAGTTGCAAAGACTAAAGTCTCAAATCCAAAGAGATATTCTTTATAAAAGTTAAGTCAACCACGCCTACCTAAAACGGCTCGTTCTAACACGCCCCCACATATCTACGTCACGATGTGGGAAGATTTGCTTAACGCCGCCCAAATGTTCACACAAAGAAAGAAGGCGTAACTTTTATTCTCGCTGTATTGTTGTTGCTGCCGCCATGTCGTGAAGATGCTGTGTGTTTCGTTGTGAAAGCGAAACTACTTTGTTTGG